TGCTGCTGCCGGGAGGGGTATATAAGGCCTCGGGTAGGCCAGGAGGCTCGTGTTGGTGGGGCTCTGCTGGGCTCCGGGGTCCTGGCCCTGCCCCGGGGCTGTGCCCGGCTGCTCTGCCGGGTGACCGGAGGGGTCTGGGGGTGACCTCTTGTACTGACCCCCTGCAGTCCTCCCACTTGAAGACCTGTGCGATGTCTGCCGTTCTCCAGCCGCCGGGACCCTCCTGAGATCTTTGTGAGCTTTCAAAGGTTATTTTGAAGATGAAGACTCTTGTCTCCAGCGAGATTTTGAAGATGAAGACTCTTGTCTCCAGCGAGATTTTGAAGATGAAGACTCTTGTCTCCAGCGTTATTTTGAAGATGAAGACTCTTGTCTCCAGCGAGATTTTGAAGATGAAGACTCTTGTCTCCAGCGAGATTTTGAAGATGAAGACTCTTGTCTCCAGCGAGATCGCCAGGTTGCCGCAGCTGATCGGGATCCTCAGGTGGCTCCCGTGGACCTGCCTGTGACCAGTTTGCCCAAGACCTTCCTCCACTGCGGGTGATGCTCCGTGTTTGCTGCCTCTGGACTGAAGCTACTCTGTGCGCTGTGGCAGACCCTGTTAGGCTGCTAGTGCTGATCTAATAGAGATCTCAGTGCTGCGGCGTCCTGGCTGACCTGTCTGGGGCTGCGATCTGGGAGACTTCTTCAACTGACCTAGAGAGGGAAGGGGGGAGCAGGGCAGGGCGGAATGGATGTCCCTGCCCCTCTGCCTCAGCTGAATGCTAGCCCTCAGCTGGCGGCCACTGCTTGGGGCCCGGAGAATGCGTTTAGCTCGTGCCACACGGCTGCAGGCACTCACATGGCTGTGAAGTTCCTACTGCGAGGCAGCTGCGTTTCCATGCCCTGAGCGGCGACTTTGGGTGTGGGATTCATCCTTTCCAGAGCTCTGGCAGAAGATCCTGAGCTGTTGGTGGCTGTGCACTGAGATGCTGATACCTTCTCAAAGCAGCCTGGCCAGTGAATGTCTGCCTGAGAGCCGTGGAGCAGCAGTTCAGACCTGCAGATCTGGTCTGCAGTGGACTGGGCTCACCCCACGGTAGAGCAGAGAAGGCTTTGCCATGAGCAGGCGGCTCCCAAGAATGGCCGTGGGTCGTCTCCAGTCGAAAGCTGGGTAACGACTCGGAGCTGGATACTTCACGCTGCAGGGAGCTCGCTGTAAGACTAATGTGACTGTTGTGCTGGTTCCAGTCTCTGACCCCGCGCCTGTCCTTCCACAAGATCCAGCCTCCCTCGGGAGGCCTGGCAGCCAGCCAAGACGATGTTCCGTTCCTGATCCTGCAAGCAGACAGAGAGTCCTGCTCTGCTTCAACCAGCTAGAGCTGATGCCAACCAAAGTGCCGCCGGGTCCTGCGGAGCTGCTCCGCTCTCCCAGAGGGAGATATCCAGACACAGGGACCCGAACATACTGAACGGTGGTGCTACGAAGCAAATTAAAGACCACCGAGAAGCTCCTGACCACTAAACTACCGCTGTCTTCTGGATATCTGCTGCTGAACTTCTCAAACAACCATAGACTGTATTCTGATGCCTCCCGAGTCTCTCAGCCAGCGCGTCCGACAGCCTCCAAATATTGAAGTCCACCTGGACTTGAAGCCAAGCAAGCGTCCCAAAGGCACCTTCTGGGTCAGGCGGTCAGTCCTGCCACCTACAAGTGATCCTGGCCAGCCCCAGCAAGCCCGTGAGGGTGGATGTGACTGAGGAGCTCTGCAGAGCAGGACGCCACGGTGCCCCATCCGGAGCAGGCAGGGATTTGAAACTCGACCTTGGTCCTTGGGACGGGGTCCTTGCAGTGCTCTTCAAACCAGGCTGGAGAAGGGCCAGTCCCTTGAGTGACTGCAGATCTGCCACGAGCTGGAGCGAGTCCGGCAGAGGCAGAGGGAGCCGGACCTCTGTCAGTCTGGAGAAGAGGAGGTTGAGGGAGGGGGATCTAAATCACTGCCTGGGATGATCCAGGGCCGGGAGCAGAGAAGACGGGGAGGTGCAAAGCAGAGGGGTGAAGCGGTGGGTGCGGGCTCCTGCGGGCGCCAGCGTAAATAGCACCTTACGCTCAGCCGTGGGCTTGGGGTGCTGCCCCTGGCACCCTGAGCTGGCAGCTGGGTCTGAGGGCAGGGGCGCTGCCCGCGGCCCGGCTGG